TTTTTCCATTTAAATAACAGGGATGATACTAATCATGGAGAATGCCAAAAATGTGAATATAAAATTGAACAAAATATGTACAAGAAAAAGGAAATAAAGGAGGACCCGATAATAACATGAAAATATTTTTTTATACTATGCGACACATTTTATTTTTTGTGTGTTTCTACATGTTTGACAAGATATAACCAGTAAATAATGGTTATTTACGGTGTCTCAAAATAAAAAATAAACATTTCTTTTGGTGTTGAAAAGTTGAAAGTACATTTAAAAATAAACATTTTGGCGCCTAGTAGAACCCTTAATATTAATATTAAGGTTTGCACTTACTTATTAAGGTTGTACAAATATTTTCAGGGGTGGTAGATCTCGATAAAAGAAACATTTTCTCTTTACCGTTTTTCATATAAGCCCAAAATATCCGAGTTATTTTACTTTTTATTTTTATGCTGTGAATATTATATCAAGATCGATTAAATAAAAAAAGCTGGATGGATTTTATAAGAGATTTATTTAATAAAGGATTGCATCTCTTGACATTTACACATGTATGTATCTTTAAGAATACTGAGTTTTTACGGAAAATTTATTAACATTATTTGCGATATATATTTGTATTTTACATTTATTAGCATGATATACAGGATGTTGATGAATAAGTAGCCTTTAAAAAAAATTAAAAAGGAAATTTTCCATATAAAGAATATACAGGGTGTCCCAGAAATAAGTGCAAGTATTTTAACTGGTAGTATAGTTCAACCCCAGAAACACGCCAACGAGGGTTTTTTACGATTTTTTTTTTTGAAAATTCGGAATTTTTTGAAAAAAATTTTGGAATTTTTTTTAGTTTTTATAGGTAGTAAATTAAATTTACAAGAAAGAAAATCCAGAAAAGATCCAGCGGTTCTCAAAATTTTAGCAGAAAATATTTATTTTTGGTAATTTTCAAAGTAAAATATCTCCGTTATTTTGAACTTATTTGAAAAACGATAAAGAGAAAATATGTTTCTTTTATCGAGATCTACCACCCCTTAAAATACTTGCACTTATTTCTGGGACACCCTGTATATTTCCATTCTTACATTTTCTCGGCTAGTGTTTTTGTTTAGAGGTATATGCGTAGGTATATAAGGTGGCTCAAAACCACATTATGCATTTCAGTTTGCACAAATTCGTTCACCAGGCGAAGAGTGTAATATCATGTCATATTACTAAGTGAAATAATGTTGAAAATATTATATTATATTTTTATTTATTGTTAAAATCTTTTTGTATAAAAAAAATAACTTGACAGTTGGATACGAAATATTATATTTCTTTTATTTCAAAATTGGCCAGGGGAAAAATGTATCACTTAATAGCTGGTTTTATGATATATCAAAATAATAATTCTGATTAAAAACAAGATTTGCCAAACACACTTGGGTATATAGTTTTCATTTCAAGATATTTTTTGTATCTTTAATAATTTAAAAAAAACTGAAATAATGATATTGTTTATTTATTTATTAATATTTCTGAAACTACCAAAACATATTTAATAATATCTTAGAATTATGTAAAGTGATCAGAAAGGAAGCCATTAAAGAGTCTATTCCTTTAAAAAAAATCATCCTTATATAGACTACACATTTTAGAGCCACCCTGTAGAAGCCAAAATATTTCCCTAAAATACATGCTTGTACATACTTTAGGATTGTACTTATATAAAAAATTTAGGTTGTTTAATATAGGAGTTACAGATGCCTGACGCACTATTGACGAACCCTGTAGTATACCAATAATAAATGATTGCCAAATACACGAATCCGACTTAACTATATATTTATATTAATATTGTGATTCTGGTTCACCTTATATAACCATATATAGGGTGAGTCTTAAATAAGGGCAAATATTTTTAAGAGTAGTATATTTTCGATCCCAGAAAACGATTATGAGTTTTTTTCGTGAAAGATTTTTTTGAAGTTAGAATTTTAATTTTTTTTTTAGTTAAATAACTTCTTTTTACTTAAATAATTTCTGGATAATATGGCAACATAGGTACTAGATTAAATTTACAAGAAAGAAGATATATAGAAAAGATCCAGTGGTTCTCAAAATTTTAGCAAAAAATATTTTTTTTTAAATTTTCAAAGTAAAATAACTCGCTATTTTAGATTTATTTAAAATATGTTTTTTTATCGAGATCTGCCAGCCCTGAAAATATTTGCACTTATTAAGACTCACCCTGTATAACTATGGATATTTTGAAATATCTTTTTTAGAATTATTGATGGATTTTGACCGTATGATCGAAAAAAAAAACGGCGTCAGCAATGGCTATAAAATGAAGATCGCTGTCATTTTATAAATAAATTTATATGAAAAATTGTCATCGATCGTCATTTCCCAGCCAACAGGACGCCATTTTTTTTCGATCATACGGCATTTAAGAAAGGTATGACCGTATTAATTTTTTGGCACTTATTCATATACACCCTGTATACAGTATTATCATGGATAAAATTAACAATGATCAATATGTATAAAATATATGCACATATACATGCATATACGAAGTAACTCTAAGTATTTTATACCCTTGTTTCATGTTATCTATTCTATGTACTTAAGTTTAAACATTTAACAACAAGATGCATATTATATTATAATATATTTAATTCTTCGTAGAAGATGCTTTGGGAATTGGGAAAACAGTCGTTAACATCATCCATAAATGTGCATAAAATACAATATAAAATAATACATTTTAATAAGTAATTCAAAATTCAATTGAAATTTAAAAAAATTGAATTAAGATATACTCTGTAATGTAGTACTAGGAAGACATAAGTATTAAGTATATTACTAAAAAATATTTGAAATCATTCTAAATACATCCTGTGCTGTTATTAAGATTATCCATGTTCTACTGTATCACTAAAACTATTTAATTAAATTCTAAAATTACAACTGACATTGTTTTAAACCGTAGACCACAGTAATTATAAAACTAACACATTTATTAACTGCTATTAAATATTTTATTATCTATTATTATATGAAATACTGTCTTCATCTAGAGAATTACATCTTAAGATTTATTGTTTATAAAAATTTATCCTAATTTGAAAGTTTTCTTTCAAATAAGTCAGCAATTATTTTTTTAGCAAATCATAAAATTTGAGAATATCTCGCCGTATAAAAATAAATAAAAATATTCTTGTATACATTCATTTATTGAGTCTTTATATACATTCATATATTATTAATATACAATTATTAATTTATTCAACAACAGTATTACGATATCCAAGGTAGAATGATATATAAATGTTGATGAGATAGCGGTTATCATATATGATATAAAACTATTGCCAAATTATAAAAAAATATATTGTAGAAATAAAAGCAAATTTATAAGGTATTATGAAAATAAATAATTATACATGTTGATTAAAAGTCATTCTTTTGGCAGTAAGGAAAATAATTAAGAAATAAACTAAGTAAACAATAATAATTTATCAAAAAATTGAATATTATTTTTTAATTGTCATTTATTGTGATTGTTGAAGAAATGTATAATTATTTATTGTATTTTTTTTAAATAAATCAAATTAACTAACTCTGGCCACCTTATCTCCGTGGTCTGTATTTTAATGATTACGACAGAAATAAATATAAACGACCAGTTGACAGACAGAAAAACAAAATATCAAGCGGCATACAGTGTTGCCGGTTCGTACGGGAAATAAAATAATAATATACAGGGTCGCTGTTATGTATGGAAACGGTCGAATTATTAGGTAAAATATAGTATAGAGGTACCGCAAAAAGTTAAATACAAAAGTTATAGGATTTGTAAATATCTATTAGGGAGTAATAAATTTAAGTATACAAGGTCGTTCATAAAGTCGTGGCACATCAAAGTTTATTTTTTTTTAAAAAAGAACCCCCTGTATATTATTACATATTTCTGTTCTTCCTTCAATTCTAAGCAAACATTGAAATACACACAATGTACCTCAAACCAACCGTTTCCGATTTAAGAAAGTTAACTTTTGAAAATATCACTTAAATAATTTCGATATGTTCAGTTTCATTTAACGATGCCATTCTGCCGAAACTGTGATACTTAATAATGTTTGACATTAGTTCTCAAGTTAGCATTTATAGATGTATAAAATGAGAATATATCAAGTCTGGAAATTACAAAATTTTCGTTTAACATTTAAAATTTTCAATTTATGTACATTCTGTATTACGATTATTGCTTAAAATTGAAGGAAGAATTGAAATATGCAATGATATACAGGGGGTTTCATTTAAAAAAAAAAAGTGATGGGACACAACTTTATGACCGACCCTGTATACTTAAATTTACTGGTAGCTAACAGGAATTTAAAACCCCATTAGAACAGTATCACAGTTTCGGCAGAATGGCATCATTAAATCAAACCAAACACATCGAAATTAATTAAATCGAATTGTTTAAGTGATATTTTCAAAAGTAAATAAAGTAAAGTAAAGAAAGTAGTAAAACTCGGAAAAGGTTGGTTTGAAGTACATTACATATTTCGATTTTTGCTTAGAATTGAAGTATTGAAATATGTAATAATATAGAGAGTAATAATAATATATTTAAAAAATTGAAACTTTGATGTGCCACGACTTTATGAACGACCCTGTATACTTACATTTATTACTCGCTGATAGATATTTACAAATCCTATAACTTTTTTATTTAACTTTTTGCGGTACCTCCTATATTTTACCTAATAATCGACCGTTTCCATACATAAAAGCGACCCTGTCCATAAAAGCGATCCGTATCTAAGCTATTTAATAATGCTCATTTCTCTTAGATTGCTGTAGCAAAATGAGTAATTAATTGTGAAAAATAAAGTTCCAACCCTGGGTGGAACATTTTTCGTAAACACCTACTTGCGCGGTTTGAAATTTTGATGCAAAATCCGGCAATACCGCATAGAAGAAATATATCAACCTAAAAACTTTTATCTCTTTTTAATGCATTTGATTTTTCATTTAAGCTGTCTATATCACTGTTTTACACGTTAAAATCCAGACCACACAGTTTCGATGGCCAGATCGATATATGATAGCATTTACCCACCTTGATATAGATATCGAATATTAATATTTGTAAACATATTTTCTTACAAATAACTAACTACTTTTCAGTCTTTTTCTTTTATCCATGTATACTCCAACATATACCGATAAATTGATAATCTCGTAATATTTATACACAACAAATTAAATACAATAATAAAGACAGCACTACACATCGTATATCACAAAGGGAAATCTATACATTTAATTTATTTTTCTTATTTTAGTTATTTACACGTCATGTTATTCCGCTAATACATTATTTTCACAGCACTAAAAAAACGATATCTAGCACCCCCCACTCATACATGGTATATTAGGAACCTAGTCTTTGGTATTAAGTGTATAAAAAAGATGGTTTAGACATCTGTGCCGCACCCCTCTTGGTAGCCTTCATCAGGCGAATTCCTGTTGCTACTCAGTGCTCTTTTCAACGCAGTAACAGGGGGTAGTACTGGTACCGCACCCTTTTGCCAAACTCTCAGTGTTTTCGCGGTGGTAGGTAGGCTGACTTGAGTGGCCATTTCGGATAGCGGCACTGGTAGACCGTAATCTTGCGGATACCCATTAATTTTGTTTTTATAAATGGATATTTCTTCGGTAGAATCACTTGTAGCACTCGTGCCTTCGATGATCGGGATTTTGTCATCGTAAATGAAAGCAGGGTTGTTGTTTGCTACCCTCTGACTACTATAGGAGTCGCTTTCCCACAAACTCGACGGGTACAAGGAGTCGGCGTTCCTGCTATATTCACCACTGCCTCGGCGATCAACATCTAACTCTACTACGCCAGCTGTTGATGAAAGCATCTCGGTACTACCGGATTGTCGCATGTCATTAATCAGATCCGGGTTATTTCCAGAGTTAGAAGACGGCGATATGTAAGATCCAGATATGACGCTGCCACCTCCAGAATAATTGTTCGTCGCGTAGGGTTGGTCGGAGATTCTGGGAGGTTTCTGTACAGGATTACAGAAATTTAGATCTGTCGGTTCTTTCCTTTCGCAGAACGATGGGCTCTGGATAGTCGGTGTTGTAGGAGATACCCCGACTTTTCCATTTCCATGTGCCAGAGAACCGTTTACTACTGCAACCACTTCGATTTGGCCAGGGGTTTTTGTTTCTACGTATGGTGTTCTGCGAACGCGCAACAACAAAACCGAAATTACCACCAGTACGAGTAGTATCAGGATAACTAAAGCCGCACTAAGTCCCGCAATTTGTCCATCTCCTAGTGACGTAATTCCTAAAGGCCGGGACATGACTCTTAATGTAAAATTAGTTTCTGAACTGCCTCCTCTGTTTTCGGCTACACAGTAAAACTCGGCCATTTCAACTGGCTGGACATTGGTGATAACCAAAATGCTTCTTTTTTCTTGTCGGCCTGTTTCGGAAACGTGTACTTTTTGGTGCGGTGCAAACAGAGAATTATTGGTGAGTAACTTGCCGTTCCAGTACCATTTTATGTGCGCTGGAGGTACGGCGTTTGCTCGACAAGTCAACGTGGCGTTGTCTCCTGAAACGGTTTCAATGTATCGGCTAACTGGAAGAATATCGGGCTTACAGGCAAGGTCGTCGATATGGATTTCAGAGAAAGATTTCTCAATTAGACGTTCTGGACCTCCGGCACATTTTGGATCTTGGGGATAGGGAATGTTATTTTTTACCAACCACTCCTTGATGACCCGCAAACGACAGTCACAATGCCAGGGATTACTGTGCAGATCTACGCCATGCAGTTTTGATAAAACTTCCACGGTTTGAGGTCTTAGTTCCGACAGATGGTTTCCGTTGATTTTTAACGATTCGAGTCCTTCGATGTTTTCAAAAGCCCCGGGACTGATCATTTTAATTTCACAATTGGACATGTCCAGTTTGACGAGGCCTCGGAAACTGCGAAACGCACCGGCTTCGATTTTTTGTATCGGGTTGTTTCCAATTAGGAGTTCGCGCAAAAACGGTGTATCGCGAAACGTTGCTGACGGAATTGCGGTCAGTAAGTTATTGGAAAGGTCCAGTTCGATCAAATTTGTCACTCCGCGAAAAGCACTGTCGTCGATCTGTCCTAACCGGCAGTTACGCAAGAAGATACGCTGCAAATTCACCAAGCCGACACGAAAGAAAGCTTCCCTAGCCAGGATTTGTAAGTTGTTGCCCGATAAGTCCAGAACTTGAGTTTCGGCATCGGCACTTTCTGGAATCGTAATCAAGCCTCGTTCCATACACTCCACTGCACGTTTGCCACCTTTCCACTTGCAGTTGCACAAGGACGGGCAAGGGTTCGAAGCTGAAATGCTCTCCAACACTAAGAACACCACTAGGACCGAGAGAACGATTTCGGTTAAACACGGCATTTTATTTGATGGGTTTTTAAGGTCGGGGACGTGTTGTCATTGATTCGCGCGAAAGCTGGCGTCGGAGTACGAGCGGCCGATCGGCGTGGATAGAGTAGAACCGCGCGACCCGAGGAGCGTGGACTTCGTCTAAGGACTGAGGGGGCCTTTAAGCTGATTTTCAACACGGGCGCCAACCAGTGCGGCCCGCACCCTCTCTTCGGCGAGCGTTGCGCACTGGTTCACAAGTAACCACCGCATCAACATACTGATTTTTGCACTGAGGGTCCCCTTTTTTGTATCGATGTGTTTCCTTTGATGGGTAAGAAGATTCGACAACTGATTGATTTTAATAAAAGTGGATGCGTGATTTCTTTTTTAATAGTACACTCACCGGCACCGGTATTTTAAAGTTTTATACCGGGTGCGTCTCAAAAGTGGCTCACCCCTATAACTTTTTAATTTTTTCAAATAAAAAAACGATATTTGGTATGTGTGTATATGACATAAGTTAGGATTGATTCACGTATTCAATTGTTTTGGGTCACTTCTCGATTTGTTTTCTTTGATGGGTAAGATTCGACAACTGATTGATTTTAGTAAAAGTGGATGCGTGATTTCATATTTAATAGTACACTCATCGGCACTGTATTTTAAAGTTTTATACCGGGTGCGTCTCAAAAGTGGCTCACCCCCCATAACTTTTTTATATTTTCAGATAAGAAAACGAGATTTTGGTATGTTAGTATATGACATATGTAAGTTAGGATTGATTGACGTATTCAATTGTTTTTGGTCACTTCAGTTTCAGCGGAATTGACTACAACTTTTTTTAAATGGCACCCTTGGTATAGTTCTACTTTATTCGATAGAAAATGACACTCTGAGTAGAATGACATATCATACGTCAACTTTAAACATTTTCTCTTTAAAAAGAATCGTATTTTAAATTTCAATCTAGAGTACCATAACTGTGTTAAAACACTAATTTTTTATCAAGGAGCCTTGGAAAAATAGATTTGATTGTCTAATATTTTTCGTGTCTTGCCCTGGCCGTCTAAAAGATGCCAAAATTTTATTTTTAATCATATTTCAATTTTTTCAAGTGGTACAAGGGTGCCTCATTAGCATATTTGAAAAAAGCACTTTTTTACGAATAATTTGGTACCACACACTTGGTATTTCGAGTCAAATTGTCGTTATGAACCGCGAAAATGTCAAAAGTTGACATATCATTCTATTCACAGTGTCATTTTCTATCCAATAAAGTAGAAATATACCGAGGGTGTTATTTATAAATCTAAAGTTGTAGCCATTCCTTGTGAAACAGGAAGTGACCAGAAACAATTGAATACGTCATAGATTTACGTCTTTATAATGTCTTTGGAATACGTCAATCAATCCTAATTTATGTTATACAGGGTGTCCCAGGCTGAGCGTGCATTAGAAGTTTCTAGAGAACTACAATATCTAGATCGGAGATCTTTTGCACATCATTGTTTTACAACGAGATCTATCGATTAAAAATATTTTCAATATGGCGGCACTTCCGGAAATACCGGAAGTTGACAGGAACTTTCTTATTTTAAACGGGTACCCTCATTTTTATTACATATTTAAATTCTCTGTAAAATTTTATGAATTTGGTTATGCTTATTAAATACTCTATACCTAACATTAACCGTTTTTGAGAAAAAAAATATTTAAAATTTTTTGACGAAAAAAACTACCTGTCAAAAAAATTTGTATAGCCTAAAAGTCAAATTTAGTGATTACCACAGTCACTGTGGTAATACATGTGGCTACCTATTTCAAAAATTAAATTGTTCAAATGTCATATAATAACGGCGGTATCTGTCATGAAGTTGAGCGATTAAAAAATTATCATAAATCATTTTTTTCAAATGGAAACCAACTTTTTTTATTTCACTAGTGCAAAGATTTTCCAATTCGGTACTTTTTGAGTATACATGTTCCTATACCTAAAATAAATCGTTTTTAAGTTATTTAATTTAAGATTTAGTTTGAAAACATATACAGGGTGGTCCGAATTGTATTCCGGAAACTTCGGCAGTATATTATGCAGATAAAAGTAATTAAAAAAGTTCGTATAAATGTATGTCCTAAAATTCTTAGTTTTCGAGATACAGAGTCTAGAAATTTCATTTTTATTTCGATTTTTTTCAAATAATTTCTGAAGTAACGTCAATATTTAGATGAAAATTGGTGTCTGGGAGTTTTTTGACATGAGCAATTTGATTTTGATGTCAATGACTCCTACTGGTAGAGGGCGCCACTTACATATGTATGTTTTAACTGTTTTGAAGCGTAATAACTTTTTGTCCGTACCTGTATAAAACTACTACTACTACTACTAAAATATATACATCTCTGTGATTTTTTACGTAAAAAATATCTCTTTGTAAAAATCGCTACGAGCAACCGTTCTCAATTTAATAATCTAAAATTTACAATGGAAATAGCCAATACATGCCATTATTGACGAAAAATAAACACGGTGATAAAATTTTTATATTTTTAAATTAATCATATTTTTTCTGCAAAAAAAATGATGATTAAACAGTTTTTGTTGAACTTTTGGTACAAAAAACATTTCAAATTTATGATTTTAGTCTAATAACTATTTAGTTAATATGTTTAATTTATGTAGTAATGACAGGTATTGATAATTTCGATTCCAAATATCTTGAAAACCATTACTCGTAGCGATTTTTACCAAGAGACCTTTTTTACGTAAAAAGCGTCGTAAATGTATATTTTTTTACTCAGTAGTTTTATGCAGGTACCGACGAAAAGTTATTACTCTTCAAAAAAGTTTAAAAATAAGTAGGTGGCGCCCTCTACTAGTAGGAGTCATATTGACATCAAAATCAAATTTCTCATGTCAAAAAACTCCCAGACACTAATTTTAATCCAAATACTGACTTTACTGCAGAAACTATTTGGAAAAAATCGAAATAAAAATGAAACTTCTACACCCTGTAACTCCGAAACTAAGCATTTTTGGACATACATCTATACGAACATTTTTAATTATTTTTATCTGCAGAATATGCTGCCGAAGTTTCCGGAATACAGTTCCGACCACCCTATATTTTCCTTGATTTTATCTAGCTTCCTTTGACATTAAGTGTCAAACAGTCAGGCAATTTATTTCCATCTGTTAGAAAACGAATTATTTGAATTTCCTATATTATAAATACTGCCTGCTTAAAAGTTTAAAGAGTGTATTTATAAAAATATATGAGTATCTCTTTTTATAGTGATATCTAATAGTTGATATTATTAATAATATATACCGTATGATCGAAAAAAAACAGAGCAAAGTTGGCTTGGAAATGATGATCGATAACATACTGCTTTTTGAACAAAGTGTCACAATATGATATGGCCAGATCTATTGTTTTACATCACTTGACGTTTAAAGTCATAGGCTACTAGTTAAAATCAAGAAAAATATACGCTTTAAAACTAAATCTTAAATAACTTAAAAACAATTTATTTAGGTATAGGAACATGTATAGTCAAAAAGTAACAAATTGAAAAGCGTTATCACTAGTGAAATAAAAAAAGTGGGTTTCCATTTGAAAAAAATGATTTATGATAATTTTTTATCGCTCAATTCCATGACAGCTGCGGTCATTATTATATGTATGACATTCCAACAATTTCATTTTTGAAATAGATAGCCACATGTCTTCTTTTTATGTCACAGTGACTGCGGTAATCACTAAATTTGACTTTAGGCTATACACATATTTTTGACAGGCAGTTTTTTTTTTGACAAAAACGGCCAATGCTAGATATAGAATGTTTAATATCAAAATTCATAAAATTTTACAGAGAATTTAAGTACGTAATAAAAAATGGAGGCACCCATTTAAAATAAGAAAGTTGCTGTCACTTCCGGTATTTCCGAAAGTGCCGCGATATTGAAAATATTTTTAATCGATAGATCTCGTTGTGTAATAATGATGTGCAAAAAATCTCCGAGCTAGATGTAGTTCTCTAGAAACTTCTAATGCACGCTCAGCCTGGGACATCCTGTATACTTACATACCAAATCTCATTTTTTCATCTGAAAAAATAAAAAAGTTATAGGGGTGAGCCACTTTTGAGACGCACCCGGTATATTGTGTTTTAGTGGACCGATTTTGATGATCTTTTAAGCAATTTGTGGCTAAATTATTTGACTTTTCAGTATCTCTTTCTAAATTAAAAATGAAAGTTCCCATCTGTCAACTATACGAGGGAATACAAAATGTTATTTTGGTGAAAGTTTGGAACAACCTGTAGATTATGTTAACAAAGCAAGGAATTTGAAAATCATTTTATTTATTATCATTAGCTTTATTTTTTAGAGATATTCGCTTTTGAAGAAGACACTAACAACAGACCTATGAAATAGTGTTTATTATTTATGTAATGTCACTGTTATTGAAAAATAATTTTATTATTGTCTGTTGACTGTTGGGTAGTTACTCTGGTACAGATAAGTTGTCTAAGATAGTAACTACTACTAGTTGTCTATATAAGTCCAGAAGTTGTATCCGCTATAATTGTTTTAATTGAAGATGATAGAGATGAATATTATATCGCTAACAGATTTAGGTGTGCACGAGGTAAAGTGCAGTCGCATCCTCGAGATACTTTCTTCAGAAACCTCCGTATGAGAACTTCGAATCGAGATGATCGATTTATTGCAAATTTATGACTAAGAAACTGCCGTTTGTCAGTTTTTCAATCATGTAAGTGAACGGACTGTAAGAAGAAGATTAAATGAAGCAAATCTTATGTCAAGAAGGTCTGCTTCAGTACAAAAACTTACTAGGTCTGTTGACTAGAACCCCAAAAGCAAAGGCATGGTTTTAGTGTAAAAATTACGAAAAAATGTTGTGTCTTCTCTAAAAGTGAATATCTCCAACAAAAATAAATCTATTGAGATGAACTAAAAAACAAACTATCGAGAAATGATGTATACCTAGGTGATAAAATTATTTTTAAATTCCTTGCTCTTTTAACATATTCCACAAGGTGTTTCAAACTTTCACCAAAATTTCAACATTTTGTTTTCCCTCGTATAATTGACTAATGGGAACTTTCAATAGCCAGTTTGAAAATAT